CATGCCTAACCACAGCAAGTGTCATGTTTTATTTTTACAAATGTGTGAGAAGCACAAAATTCAAGTGAGACATGAAAGGGGAAATAACATATTTAAATTAAAAAGCACCAAAAGCAACAACTAGCTTTGGGTCTGACACATTAAGGTCAGCAAGATTGTATATGAATCACTCCCTGCATGCCTGAAGTCTGTTTCATGAGTCCAATGCACTGCTCAAGCATGGGCTTTCCAATATAAAGAAAAAGAAAACGGTTGGCGTATAATAATTCTCATGACCGCAAAATCTCAAATTACAGCATCAACATCTATTCTATTATCCACCCATTTAATAAAGGGGGCAAATAGTATTTTAGAGTCAAACATTCTTTCCAGAAATATAAAGCATAATAAAATCATAATAATATTAACTTCAGAACACTAATTTAAAATAAATTGATTCTCCTCGACTTTTACACTTTTGCATTGAGTTTCAATCTGCAAATCTGTTATCTCACGTTTATGCATATGTGGTTAGCTAAGCAATAACAAAGGAAAGTAAGAAAGTATGAAAACAAAAGTAAAAACAAAAAAAAAACTCCTGAGAGAATTAAAAATCCTAGAAGTCTGAAATCCCAGCACTCGGGAGGCTGAGGAGGCAGGAGAATCGCTGTGAGTTTGAGACCAGCCTGGGCTACACAGTGAGTTCCAAATCAGTCTCAACTACATAGGGAGACCCTGTCTCAACAAAACCAAAAAAAAAAAAAAGAAATCCTAGAAGCTGATCATCATTTATATGCATCAAAAAAGCAAAAATCAAAGGAATGATTGTTTTTAATGATTTCAAGGTTCTTTCCAATTTGTGCCTAACTGAAGAATTGCTGTTTTCTTTTCTTCTTCCTGTTTATCTTTTAGCCACTTCACAGCTCATTAGACTCTGGAGAAAGAGTGATTGGAGAAAATAAAAGGAGATGAGACTCAAATGACTGCAATTGGCCTAAACAGCCCTGAGGAAAAGCTTTGTTTTCAAGAAGCTTAGAAAATTGGATCTGATACAAATGATTTTGGTGCATCTAAGAATCTGAATAAATTTTAATGTTCTTAATCCCTGTTATACTGATTAAAAGAGTGAAAATGAACTTTTAGATATGTGGTGTGTACGATACAATGTGGAAAGCACAGTCACACTATGTGCTCAGAGAAGTACATCCTAGAATATACATTTTCTAAACAGATCTAAATATATACACACACCTGAATGTGTTATCTTTATATTACTGCTCCAATGCCTCCAATATCTACTTTTATGATAAGTAATTATAATGTGTGGGAAAATAAAACCTATAGATGACACAAAACATTTTATTCATACATTTTTATTACATAGGAGATAGTCTAGGAAAGGTGATAA